CTCACACACACACACACACACAGACAGACAGACAGACACAGACACACACAGACACACACACACACACAGCACATTTTCCCTGCTAAAAGCACACTCGTGAACGCACTCACCCTGTAAGACACATAAATGTGACACACTTACTGTATTTCTGTCCCAGAGCTTCAAAGAGCAGATCTCTCTTCACGCTGACTGTCGGCATGGTCGAGCGTCACCGGAACATTACATTTCAAAATAAAAGCCCACACAGAACAGCACGGAAAAGACCTATATTTACAAAATAAAAGTCTCAACCGGAAACTTGAATATTTACGTTGACGGCATACTTATCCCCTTAAATTTTGAAGAGATTCTATAAAAATTTGAATTCGTGTTTATTTTATATGACGGACATTTTTGGGGATATTTATTTATTTATATATTTATTTATTTACAAAAATATTCAGGAGGGGGATACTGCCAGATTTCCGAGTGTAAATAAATACATACATACATACACTTTGGGATCAGTAAGATTTTTAACGTGTTTTAAAGAAGTCTCTTCTGTTCATCATGGGCTGCATTTATTTGACCGCAAATGCAGAAAAAACAGCAATATTGTAAAATATTATTACCATTTAAAATAACGGTTTTCTATTTTAATATATTTTAAAATATAATTTATTTCTGTGATGCAGCGCTGAATTTTCAGCATCATTCCTCCAGTCTTCAGTGTCACATGATCCTTCAGAAATCACTCTAATATGCTGATTTATTATCAATGCTGGAAACAATTTTGCTGCTTAATATTTTATTTTTTTTTGGAAACTGTGATACGTTTTTCAGGATTATTTGATGAAAAGAGTCAAAAAGAACAGCATTTATTTAAAATAGAAATCTTTTCCAACAATATAAGTCTTTATTATCACTTTACTATCACAAGAAATGCTTTTATTCAGCAAGGATGTGTTAAACTGATACGTTTGCTGAATAAAAGCATTTCTTTCAAAAAAAAAAAAAGAAAAGAAAGAAAGAAAGAAAGAGAAAAATACTGTCCCCAAACGTCTGCACGGTAGTGTATATTGTTACAAAAGATTTCTATTTTAAATAAATGCTGTTCTTTTTAAATTTATTCATCAAATAATCCTGAAAAAAAGTATTACAGGTTACAAAAAGCAGCAAAACTGTTTCCAATACTGATAATAAATCAGCATATTAGCATGATTTCTGAAGCATCATGTGACACTGAAGACTAGAGTAATGATGCTGAAAACTCAGTTTTGCATCACAGAAATAAATTGTATTTTAAAGTATATTAAAATAGATTTGAAATTGCAATAATATTTCACAATATTACTACTTTTCTGTATTTCTGATCAAATAAATGCAGGCTTGACGAGCAGAAGAGTGTCGCAAATGTCACAGAAGATCAAATCAGAGACAATGTAACAGGGGCAAAGGTGCTGGAGGTAAAACGCCTTAGAACAACCAGAAACGGGGAGAAGTGCGATAGCCTGTCTGTTATGATTAAGTTTGATGAAGCAAGACTTCCAAGTAAGTTATACATAGGTTACATGAGCTATGAGGTCAGGCCATACATCCCTCCCCCACTGAGATGTTTTAAGTGCCAAAGATATGGCCATGTAGCAGCAGTGTGTAAGGGTAAACAAAGATGTGGTAGGTGTTCAGGCGAGCATGAGTATGGGGAATGTGGAGAAGGAGTAAAGCTGAAATGCTGTAACTGTGGAGGGGAGCACAGTTCAGCCTACCGTGGATGTGAAGCTAGCAAGAGGGCAATGGAGGTGCAGCGAGTGAGATCGCTGCAAGGAATAACATATGCAGAAGCTGTAAAGAAAGTGTCTAAGGAAAAGGAAGCCTATAAACCAGAACTCAAAGAAAATAAAAGTAGGTCTTGTGGGAAGTGTGAGAAAATTGAGGCAAAGAAGGATTTGTTAGTTATGGGCAAAAATGAATTTGTGTTGTTTATGGTTGAGGTGATAAACTGCTCGGCACAGACAGACAGGAAGACAGAAAAGATCAAAATAATAGTTAAATCAGCGGAAAAGTATTTAGGAATAAAAGGGCTTAGCTGTGAGGTAGTGGAAGAAATGATAGTGGCAGGAAGCACAAGCTCGCAGACATGGGTTGGTGGCTCTTTATGATATTAGCTATATTGCAATGGAACTCCAGGAGCCTTATAGCAAATGGACAGGAATTCAAGAGTTTTGTCTCAGATTTAGCAGATAGACCTCATGTAGTATGTGTGCAAGAAACATGGTTAAAACCACCGTTGGACTTTGTATTGTATTGATATACTTCAATTAGGAGAGATAGAGAAACAGGAAAAGGTGGCGGTGTAGCAACTTTTGTTAAAAGTGGGGTAAGATATAAACTTATTAGTAAAGGGAAAGAACATGAATCTGTTGTAATTGAAGTATGGTCAGGGGAAAACACACAAATGGATGAACAAAGCATGACACTTGAGCATTTATTAGGGAAAGCATCTGGGAGAATACACAATTTATTAATGTTATTTTTGAAAAACAGTGGGTTAAGTGAAAGAATTTAATAGGGATATAGTTTTTTTTTTTTCCTCCTCCACCTCTCCTTTGATGTCAGTCTAATGCCCACACTCCAGTCTAGTAGGTGGCGGTAATGCACCTTTGAGATGAGTTGCCAACCGCCATTAAACCTGAAAGAAGAGGAAGAAGAAGAAGAGTGTCGCTGCAGTTATCCTCCGCTCCGCGGCGCGGCGCTCTCTCCCCGCGCGCTCATCACGCCTCAACGTTCGCGGAAGGTTGTGTTGAGTTTCTGGGCGTCAATCTCATGCGGCCTCGTCGCGAAAATCCAGTTCACACATGTTTATTCGGGTCCAGGAGAATATATCCAATAACATACTGAGTTAATAACGCTCATGGACATGGAAGCGGTGAACGCTTTTAACGGGGAGGTGAGAATTCGCGTTTTATTTGCCGTTTACCCCTTTATCGTTAGGCGAGCGCGCCATGCCACACCAAAACAATCCGTGTTTTGTGTGTGTTTGTTGTTCACTGATGGATCAATGTCATAGATTTTTGCAGTTTAATGTTCTAAACTCAAATAAAACCCGATATATGGTTCAACAGATGTGATATGAGTATGAATTAAGTTAGTTTGTTTAGTGACCTTCTGCCTATTCGTGCTGTCAAACTACGCTTAATAATAAATTAGCTTGAGTGCTCACAGCACCTTTATGGTATATTGAGAGATTATATAAGAGATACACAATGTTTTAAGTGATTTAATCTAGTTTTGACCTGTTTGTTGTAATAGAAGTGAATATAGAGAGAATTACAGTGGCGCCCCCTACAGATTCAGAGACCTGATCAACTCTATTGATGATTTAATCATGTGGTTTAAAGGTGTTATTGATCTCTAAACAGATCTGCCGTTTGTTATGAGGTTAAATGTAGGTTTTATTCATTTTGACTATCTATATTGAGTTCGCGGTAACTGAGCTGAAAGTTTTGCATGATGTTTTGATCTTAGTTCTTTCTTACACCGTAATTTGATTATGATCATTATGATCAATAATTATTGATTATTATGAGGATAAATTGGAGATTTCTTCATCCTGTTTCCTCCCTTTAGATGATGTCCATGATGGACATGACTCCCCCAATCTCTCGAGCCAAAATGATGTCTGTAACCAAAGCAGGAATCAAAGCTATCAAGGTAAGTCAGGATAGAAATAGGAAAGGGAAAGGATTTTGATAAATTATAAAGAGTTATTTGAAGAATGATTAGATTTATGTTCAGATTATTTTGAGTTTGCCGTTTGAAAGATGTGTTTTACATGCACAAACATATACTGATAATGCTTAAAGGAATGGTATTTTAATTTTCGAAAATGAAAATTTGCTGAAAATTAGCTCAGCCTCATGGATCCTCTGCAGTGAATGGGTGCTGTCAGAATGAGAGTCCAAATAGCTGATAAAAATAATCCACAAGTAATCCCACACCACTCCAGTCCATCAATCAATCAATGTCTTGTGAAGCCAAAAGGTGCATGTTTGTAAGAAACAAATCCATCAAGTCGTTTTTAACATAAAATCATTGTTTTCCGGGTAAAATACAAGACCTCTATCCATAATGTTGCTTTCTCTAGTGGCAAAATCATCTCATCTGAATTAGGAGAGAAATCTGCAGAGATCAAGCACCGTTTACAAGTGAAAACAGTCTAAAACAAATACGTCAGTGGGCTTTGATATGAGAGGACAACAGGTGATGGACTTTTTCACTGGAGGAATTATGGATTATGGTCTTGTTTTTTGGCCAGAAGTGACGGTTTAAAGTCTTTATGATGGATTTGTTTCTTACAAACATGCAGCTTTTCACTTCACACGATGTTAATTGATGGACTGGAGTGGTGTGGATTATTGTGATGTTTTTATCAGCTGTTTGGACTCTCATTCTGACGGCACCCATTCATTTTATATGGTATAAGAGAAATGAATTAAAATTCTCATTTAAACCCAGTTTTCGTGTGTTATCTGTTTATTGATTTTGATAGTTGATGCTGATAGTTGTTTATAGACTGAATTTTTATGATTTGCTTTGTTAGCTTTACAAGCACGTTGTTCAAATCGTGGAGAAGTTCATCAAGAGGGTATGTAATAAACAATATACTGATGTTCTTGTACTGATGATCGTTGTTATGGGAAGGTAAAGGCTGACTGTTTCTTTTTTCCATCAGTGTAAACCAGACCTAAAGGTTGCTGGTCTGTATGTGGTCGACTCAATTATCCGACAGTCCCGCCATCAGTTCGGCACAGACAAAGATGTGTTCGGTCCGAGGTTTTTGAAAAACTTCACACTTACTTTTCAGAACCTTTTCCAGTGCCCCGCAGACGATAAGGTACTGAATAATTGCCTCCAGAATTTAGAGTTGAAATTACGTTGAAATGTTTCTGTGCTGGTGGATTTTATTGGTGGGTTTTTTTTGTTGAAATGTAGGGGAAGATATTGCGTGTGTTGAATCTGTGGCAGAAGAATGACGTGTTCAGCATGGACATCATTCAGCCGCTGTTAGACATGGCCACAGACTCTGTACTACCTGTTGTGGAGAATGGAATCCCAGCTGCCGGTAAATAAGAAAAATAATTAAATGTTGGTTTATGTCATTATGCTTTACTCGCTAGGTTTTGTATCAGACCTTTTGAGTCAAAGTCTTTACATTTACAC